ATGGTGAAAAGTGAGCAGGATATGGTGTTGGACAGGATTTGGGCAGCGGATTTTGCCTTCTTGAAAAGTGGAACCACATAGTTGTTCTCTAGTCCTCTAGCACCCCCCTCCCACCACCCCAATGGTCAGGGAGGAATTAAAAATTTGGGTCACAGTGCCTTTCATTCCTCCCTCATCTTCCACAGCAGTCTGGGAAACAATTCATTTGGACCTGGGGACTGGTCCACTTTTATGCACACCAAAACTTCCAATTCCATTTGACCCCCTCTAACAAACTGCTCAAGAAGCTCATAGTCCATCAACTTCCCAAATTCTATAATTACATGCTCCTTCTTTCTCCAAAGTGAAGACAGGTGGGAAATATGTTTAACAGGCTACCAAAGGCATCCAGCTCCAAGTAGAGATTGTGCCTTTGGTCCCTAATTGGTCTTACTGCTTTGTTGGTTTCTCTTCCCTTTAATACACTTATCTTGGGATTTTCCCTAATCTTACCCATCAGTGTTTTTATCATGCATCTTCTTTTCTGTCCTAATTGTTTTCTTAAATTCATCCTGCACTTTCTATACTCCACTAGGGCCTCTGTTGATTTGCTCCCTTTGTATCTATTAGAAGCTTGTCTTTTCCTTCTTATCCAGTCCTGAGTATTCCTAGACATCCAGGGTTCTCTGGCTTGTTACTCTTACATTTCACCCTAAAGAGAATATCATTCACACACATTACAGATCCAACCTCAAGAAAGGCATGTTACTTTTCTTTCTGACACAGTGTTTTCCAATGTGTTTCGGGTATGAGTCGCTTTCAAACATTTCTTAGGGTTCTCATCTGGACACTGTTTCTCCTTTTGTCTCACTGAACATTACACTTCTTCCCGGCAACTTGGCTCCTGCAGTTTCTTTGTTGCTGGTTCACTGGCTTTGGAGATGAAAGCTGATGAAAGCTTTAAATCCTGAGCAACTTTGTTTTGTACACCAATAACAGTTTTGTTTCATATTTGATTATTTTACAGATCTATCATTACACATTCTTACTTAGCTCCCCAGATTCATTGATTTGACTGTATCACAACATTGGTTCAACTGTTCAAAAATGCAGCATTCATAAAAATGATGAGGTAGTCCAATACAAAACTATTCCATCCAGCTTTTCCAGGTTTCATTGATCTGCTCAGCAGAAAATCCTACCAAGAAGATCAATATTAATTTTGTCCTGAAGGTTAGCACATACCATATTTTCCATGTTTTCCTGTCCAGACTTAAGCATTTGTGTGTTGTTTTATGAGAAATAGTGTAATCAGATTCATTTAAAATTTTTGAAATAATGATAAATGAATTGTTTGACAGAAGATCTATTCATGTTTGACAAATGTTAAAGGATGATTATTACAGGTGCTTCATCACACAGCTGCCAGTGGTGCAAAGGAAAACACTGTGAATGCATAAGAGACAACAAGGTGCAGAGCTGGATGAACACAGCAGGCCAAGCAGCA